CTGGCTCATATCTTTGCTATACTTCTGAGCCTCTTTGATCTTCGCCTCTTGATGGATGACCAAGGCTTGTAGCTCGTCGAGTTTTGCAAGGACTCGGTCCTTTTCTCGTAGTGCTTGACCATACTGAGCTAACCCATCTCTTTCTTTGTAGCGTAGCTCAGTGAGACTCCGATTGAGCCTCTGGTTGGCCTTCCGCTCTTGGCGTATTTCAGACCGAGTCCTTGTGAGGTCTTGCAGTAACTCCTTGATCGTCTGAGCCTGTTTTCCACATTCGGCCTCAAGGTGTGCTGATTTGGCGGTTATTTCCTGAAGTTGGTTATCCGAGCTGGTTCTGGCAGCTTTGGATGCTCGGATAACTTGCTCGTTAGAATCAGTACACTGATCCTTGAGGCGCTCTATCTCATGATCCTTCTTCTTGCATTGCCTCTGCAGACCGTCTATGGTGAGGATAGATTCTTGCTCTCTTTCTTCAAGGACCCTCATCTGGGCTCCCATGATTTCTATCCTCCGGGTCAAGGCATCAACTTGGGTTTGTAGCTCTTCACTGTTTGAAAGCGCAACAGGTGAGGCGGATGGTTGTGACATCCCTCTATTTCTTCTCCACTCCTCGTAGTCACTAGAGGCAGCTACTCGAGCTTTTCCTAGCTCTCTAAGACTGGCTTCTCCCATGCTCTTCTTACAACAAGCGAATTAGCCACCGTGCATGGGTCTCCGAAGAAACACAGTCCTCTGAGCTCTTCCCGGGATATTGCAGTCTGGGTCCTCATGAGTTGTCTCATAGCCACCCTTGGAGAATAAGCTATGCAACCCCTAAGTCCTATTAATGGTATGCTCGGATAATCCCCACACCTGATGAGGACTGGGCCGGGTCAGAACCAAGGGCATACCCAGGATAATCGGCTAACGTCCCATTGCTCCAACTCGACCTTCCACTCCATGGTTAGGTGTTGGTGGAAAGGGATTTTGGAGAATCTTCTCAAAGGGTCGGGGAACATCCCCATGTGACTAGAGGCGTAGAAATGTGTGATACTCCACACAAATAGCAGCGAAGAGTAACATCTGAGTGTTTTCCCTTGCTTCTGGTGACAGAATTCCACCGAAAGCAAGGTGTCGGCAAGAAGTGCAGGCAAGGGACTCTTCGAGTTCACGTCCCAGGCGAAGAAGGCGTCCATGACGGCTTGGTCTACTGTGTCGATATGGAAGGGAAACAAAATTGTTCCAAATATGATTAAAGCCAGGGTTTTGTTAAAAGCAGCCCATTCTGCCCTTTCAGCCAAAGAGGACAGATGGTCTTCTAACATCACGACTTTCCAACCCTGGACATTCCCTTTTGCTATTAGGGTAGTCTGCCGAGACGACAATCGGATGATGGCAGGGACTTGTGCTGCAGGAGTATATGCTCCATTGCGGATATGGACCCTGGCTGATTTGGATCATTTTAACATAATCTCATACTCCTCCAAAGTAGGCACCATATCGAACTATGGGAACTCAAAGCAATGCAGACTAGAGTTCCAAAAATGAACTATAATCTTGATGAAAGTAGGGTCGACACAGATCTTCAGCAGGTCCAGAATCCGTCCGTAGGATTTTTTGAAGTCAGAGCAGACCTCTGGTGGCATCAATGCGCAAAGTCGTTCCAATTTCTCAGCATGGTATCGCAGAATGTTCACTTTCTTCAATTGTCTACTAGTCCCCTCCATTTTCTAAAAACCAACATGCATGCTTATGAACATGATGCTTATTGTAGGTATGTATGCGAGTATTTTTTTTTTCCTAGATGTTTATCATGTTTTATTTCTACATGATGTATGATAGTATTTGTGTATTATTATTTTTTTTTTCAAAGATAAACTACTTATATGGATGTTTAATGTTTGTGAACAAGGTCCCATTTTTATTTGATTGGGTTTTTATTTAATTTTTTGTTTTATTTTATAGCCTTTTATCTCTTCTGTTGGACTACGTGGCTACTTAGCTTACAAAGAACCTGAAATCAGGCTAGCTAAAAGGCAGACTGTCCGAGATAAAATGGTTTATTGTAAAAGAATAATTTTAGCATCCCTTATCTCTTCTGTCGGACTATGTGGCTACTTAGCTTACAAAGAACCTGAAACCAGGCTAGCTAAAAGGCAGACTGTCCGAGATAAGGGTGTTTATTACGAAAATTTTTTTGTGGTTTTTCTATTTTCATCTGTTGTTTGGTTATGTTATGCAATCAAATGCAGTAGACAAATGCACACACAATTCACTCATCCGCGATCAGGTAAGATGACGTTTAAATTACGAGGTAGGGTTTTCCTACAGAAAAGTGTGTTGGCAAAGGCAGGTTCTAACTATTCTCACCAAGGCTTAGGCCCCCAAGGTGCCCCCATTATAGGGTCCCCACTCTCCAGCCTTCCGACCATGCTTAGCACAAAGGTCATAGTCAGTCTTTGTGCCAAAAGAGGAAGGTTATCACCTTGAGTGGTGGTTTTCGATCATACCGGTGGGCTCATGGCCCTCACTACGGCAAACTATACCTACCACCCACTCCCTATGGATTTATCACTTGCCCTCGGGTATAGAGGGAACTGTTGTGTGCAGTTTGTATTTCAAACAATTGCCTAAAATAAACAAACAACAGTTATTAAAGCCAAACAAATAAACATGTTATAAGACAAGGTAGGGTAAAAGCGAAATTTCTAATTTTATTTATTAAACCGGCCCATCACTAAATGGGATCAACTCTCTAGGCTTCCCCAGCGGAGTCGTCATCTGTCGTCGCCGTCAAAAGAGGCGATTGGAGTGACGCGATGGTTCTGACTTCTGTTTTTCGCATTTTAGAAGGGTGACGTTACAATGCCTTTAGGTTGTCCAATAACCGGGCTGGACCTAAGAGCAAGATTTTCGAAGAGGGGTTCTTATGGAGTCACCACCGATGTTTTTACCGAAAACATCGGAAAAGGAAAAAAAAGAAGGCGTTGGATTTTAAGAAAACCAACTTTGGTCATTATAACCAGAGTTGTATAAGGGAGTTAGTTACGTGTGGGGAAGGTATTAGCACCCCCACAATGCCCCTTTCGGGTTCCCTATGATAGACCAGTTATTTCATAAATAAACTTTAAAATGACGCTTTTATCCTTTTATTTGCGGAATTAAGAAAATAATGGCTACATGACCCTCGTAGCTAATATACAGATAAATATAAAAAGGCAGTAAAAGAGAGGAAGAAAGTAAAGAAACCTCCGGAGCAAGCTTTCTCGATTAATTCTCTTAAAATTGGATGCTTTTTGGCAGTCTTTCGCTTTACAACGCTATAAAAAGCTTTCTAACACTCAGAAAACTCCGAAAATGCTTCAGAGGGGCTCTAGGAGAAGAATTTTAAGAAATGCTAGAAGGAAAGGTTGAAGAACTGTGTCAAATGAAGGGGAGAGTACCCTTCTTTTATAAGGATTCGCGCCTGTCAGGTCGAGACCGCCGTCTCGCCTGGCAAGGTCAAGACTGTCGTCTCGCCAAATGGGACAATGGTATCGATTTGACAAATGGAGAGAAGGTCGTCTCGCCAAATGGGAAGGCGGTCTCGCCATGGCAAGTGGCGAGACGCCCGTCCTGACTTTGTCGATGGTGAGACGACGGTCTTGACCCTCCAGATGGAAATCCTTATTTGTTTTTCGTACAAAAAACATTCCTACTCTAATATGGGGCCTAATCTAAGGACCTTTTAGGACATGTCCATCTTCGAATCGGAGGTCTTCTGCTCTTTAATTTGCGACTGAACAAGATTTACCCCCTTATGATGTTAACTCTAAGTTAAAGAAAAACATAGAAGACTCAATCTCTTAACCTTAGTTTGCCCAGATAATTATGAGACAAAATCTGTTAGTGGTTATGTATTCACACTCGAGGGTAGTTTGAATCATTACCAAATTAAATGTTTAAGAGAATTGTCACTGACATGATTCGATCCTAGTACCTTAGAGTTGGAGGTCGATACTCCAGCCACTAAACTACTAGAATTTTATGATAATAACTTACAAATAAATTATATTTATATAGTTATATATTTATATGTTGGATGTGAGGGCACACTCAAAGGTGAAAGTGTGTGTCGAGTGAATTTTCAAAATTTGATGTCAAATTTGTGAGCGGGTCTCTTTATATGGGTTTATAATTTAATGACAGAATATAATCTTTTATAATTTATTTATATAATGATATAAAATAAATTTGGGAAACGCATCATTCGCTCAAGCGATACATTCGCTCAAGCTAAAAATACCAATTTTTGCTCAAGCGATATATTTTCGCTTGAGCGAGTGAATTTCCGTGAGCTTTAACGTATTTTCGCTCAAGTGAGAGTCAATCCCACTTTCACCATCAAGCGCGCCCTCACATCCAATATATAAATATATAACTATATAAATATATAAATATATCGGTTTTAACCGACGTTGAATGACGACGTGGAAAACATATTATGTTGTAGTGGGCAAACAATTATTGCAATATTAACCATGAAATCTGAGTTTGTTGCTCTCGAAATGGTTGGGAGTGAAGCTGAGTGATTGAAAAACTTCTTAGCAAATATTTCATTAGGAATGATCTGTGTCAATACATTGTGATTGTCAATCAGCAATAACTATAACTATAAATAAGAACTACAATGGAAAGAATACACATATAATTTCCATTTACATAGGTTTTCTTCTTCTAATTTATTAAAATGTCTTTTAAAATTTTTAAATTAACCATACATAAGTATATATTTTTGCTAACAAAATATAATTTATAAACTAATATTTTTATCATTTTACATTTTTAAAAAATAGTTAAAGAGTTTAAATCTATCAAATAGTTCTGATTATAAGTTAATTTCTTAACTAGTTTCATCAAACCCTGGGTGAGGCTAGCGTGGAATAAGATAACTTGCGCAGTCTCCCACGGTGGAGATTAACTCAGGACTATCAGATCTCTTTACTTTTTAATTAACAGTAAATATAATCTCTCTCGCCTTTGACCTCATTCTCTTTCTTTACAGAATTACCCCTCTTCCCTTCATCTTCCCTCTGGTTCAGATTTTTCCTTTGCTCGATGGAAACTGGTTTCTTCACTAGCCAATTTAATACTATAATAGGAAATTACACAATAAAGAAAAATAATATATATATATATACTTCATCTTATAAATTAATTTTATAAAATTAGATTAGGTTTAAATTTACCTCATAATATAATATCAAAATTTATTCTCATAAAATTTATTACTATATCATATATATATATATATATATATATATATATATATATATATATATATATTTATATATATATATATATATAAGAAAAAGATATATTTTTATTTTATTAGAAATTATCCAATTTTTAAATTGATATCATTTATAAATATTAAATCTTAATCTTTGAGATATTCAATCCTTAATATAAAAATATAAAAAATGTATTAAAAATTGTATAGCAATTAAATTTATAATTAAATTATATTGTATAAATTTCACACTAATTTTATAAAATTAAGTTTGACTAAAAACTCACTTCTCTAAGATTAGGAAATCCTTCTTTTTGTTTCTTTTGTGGTTCAACGTTGGGAATCCCTAAACGGTTTGTGAGAAGAAGGGCAAGAGAATCTGAGGTTGTAATTCCTTCACCATTTTAATATTTCTTTTGCCGTTCCAAAAAAAAAGTTAAAAATGTTGGAATTTCGATTTATCTTTCCTTTGCTATGAATTTGTCACCATATTATTTTTATTTTCAGAGTTTATTCAATTTGTAATTTTGAACCACTTGAATAAGTTAATAAAAACTCAAGTTCAGAACTTAAAAGAACTTTAAAACTGCTCAAAGTTTAAAATTGATTTCGTTGTGCCTTGTGATGACCGCTCCTGCTTCACCGGCAAGATTTATTAATAAATTATTATCTTAAAAAAAATAAAAAATAAAAATAAAAAATCTTATAAATTATTATCTTAAAAAAATTAAAAAATAAAGATAAAAAATCTTATCATAGAAACACTGTCATGAACGAAAATCAAATATCAAACAAGTTAGAATTAGAAAAAAGGTTATCGAAACTATTCGACTTTAAGGGTGTGTTCAAATTATAGTTTACAAACAATTATTTGGCCCGACCAAAAATAAAACAACTATTTTCCATTTTTACCAAATCATGATCTGGGATTCAACACGTTATTCAAATGCAACTCAGATCACGATTTTGCCAAACACGTTATTTTGTAAATGTAACTTCAATTTCCAAACTAAGTTTTAGAATGTGCAAATTATAATTCAAACCTGCAAACAATTCTTTATTGTATGAACAAGATTTGACCAATGACATTTATTTTTATAAATATGTTTATAAGCTCTAGCACCGTAGGATTTAGAAGCCTACACTTTGTGGAGTATCTAAAATCCCAAAAGTTTAGCTCACAATCAATGTTCCTCACTACTTTCCCTCAGCCTTATCTATCAAGTTGGTCCCTGATTGTGTTAGAATGACGTCAAATTCACTAAGAGTCCACTCTGCTACTTCATCTTTGTCGCTATCGAATATCTCAGTACCAGAATCAATCGACGTCCATTTTCTTTTCGCAGGAGGAGTGCCTGGGTCCTGCATCACATGACAAGATAAATTAAAAGGGGTGGTGACTCATTAGATTCCAAGTAGTACAGTAGTTGTTCAATTGACCTGATAAAAGTAGAGTCTACTTGATAGCCCTCCAACATCAAGTTCCCAAGTCCTTGCATCTCCCACCCAACCATCACCTTTTTTGGTGGGATAGCCATAATCACCCCATATAGGGTGAGGCAGCAACTGAACTATCTCTTGTGCCTGAGGGTTGCTGTAAGGATCACAAGTGCTCACTGGTTGCTCCAAATGTTGAGCATTCCCAGGAGCACAATAGAAGTGATACGCTGAGTAGGGGAAATTGGCTGTGTCTTTCCTATAGATTTTTTTGTTGTCTGGAGTTATATGAAATGGTGGGCAGTTAACCAACTTTGTGGGGCTGCACCAAGCTGGGGTTTCAGGGTTGATGATCATCTCACTATATCTAGTGACATCAGTGAGTACATCTCCATCACATGGAGCACCATTGTTCTTCCAACAGCTTCCAATTTCTAAAAGGTAGAATTGGCTCTTGGCCCCTCCACCCTTCTTGATATCCAAGCTCAACCTCACCTTGAAATTTGGTGACTCTGGAAGCTGAATCATGAACCAACCCAAATGATGAATCATGAAATTAAGTAGATTGTATTGCATGCTTAATTAAACTATTAATTAAACAGAAATGGAAATCTTGAAATTGAATTTTGAAGGACATGTTGGACTGGAACTCACAGTTTTTAGCATTCCCCTTGTGTCATAGGGGTAGCCTCCAGAGAATCCTTTGGTTGCATCAGCTCTAAGGATATTTCTTTGAAGTCCTTAGCCTGTGTTTGAACACCCAACTCCCAACATTAACTTTCTTCTCCCAAACTACCTCATAGTAAGATACACCATCGTGTTCAACTCCACAATCAGAATCCAAATCATAAGTACCATTTAATCCCCCTTGCATTATTCCATCTTTGAGCCGTGTTTGTTGATGACACAAGATGGGTTGGTTCATGCAACCTTGTCCAAAACAAGGAAACCGTCCCGGACTAAAAGGGGGTACCTTTTTTCCGTCCTTAGGACATAACCCAGACCTGGTGTCATAGTTTCCATTTTTCAGCATTACCATCCAAAATTGCCATGACCTTGGGGTGTCTGCAACTTCACACAAGGAACCCAAATACAATTCCTTTTCAATTGCATAAAGGTCTGTATTATTGATATGTTCTGGTTTTAGGCCAGGAAATGAGCTCCCCACCCCCAGTCTGTTATCAGATTCTGTGACTTTGTGCGTCAGAGAGCCTGGTCATCACAACGACTCACAATTCTCAACAAAATAAAAACATTACTGATTTGATAAAATAAATAACAATAAAAAACTAAACTATAAGAAGGAAGCATAACATGCAGAAAATGTGACCCAACATTGAGGATCAAATGTGCAATAAACTGAACTGATATAATTTATAGGACTGTGTTTCTGTGTCAAGTGATTTAGCTTACCTGAAAGATCAAAACAGTCAGCAGCTCTTGGGCTACCCATGTGGGGAGCTTCTCGACCAACTTCATTGCAGAAGTTCCAAGCTTCAAAAGCCACCCTCAGACCATCTCTTTGCATTCCTGGGTCTCCTACTGCCGAGACATGACTATGCTTTGCGGACACAACAGAGGCACTGAACACTAGCACATTCATCAACAACACAATCAACATCTTCATTGGGAAGCTCAGAGACAGAGGAGCATGGTAGAGGATCTAATCTAATGTTAGGAGCACTTTCTCCTTCTGGTTTCAGGTGGAACTTTCTTACCTTCTAAGTGCCTCTCCTTCACCAAATTATTGTATTTTGTGAGTACTGAATGAATAGGTGGTATCAGTCATTAATTCGAAATTTATAACCGCAAATGGATCTCTACAATGAGGCCAACTAATACGCCACACCGGTGATGCATCATTTATCACCCTCTAATACGCCATACCGGTTATGCATCATTTATTACCCTCATTTATTGTTTTTTATGTTTTTTTTTTATGTATTTATTTATTATTTATTATTTATCTAATAAACAGACAATTAAACTCGTTGGTAGGGACTGACTCATCTATGTCCCAAGTTTGACAGAAAAAATTGAGTTGACTTAGGACCGGGTGGCGATACGTAATGTAATCTCCACCCGACCACGTCTTAGTTCCGCGCCGATTTTATATTTTAAATTTAAATTTTAAAATATTAATATTTTAAAAATATTTTTTCTTTTTTCTATTACATATAAGATTATTTTTTTATATTTTGTCATTTTTACTTTTCTTTTACTCACTTTTAAATTTTTTTATCTTTTTTAATATTTTATATGAATTAGTTTATTACATTATTCTTTTTTTCTTGTGTTTTAGTTTTTCAATTTCCTTAATCTCTTAAATCAATTTATTTATTTTTTAATCTTTTCAAAGTTAATTTTTTTCTTTATCTTTTTCTAAATATTTTACATAAATCTTTGTAATAAACAATATTATTTTATTTATAATTTATATTTATTAGGTTTTATTATGTCATATTTTTTTTATCTTATTATTTTTATTTGTCATATATCAAATTTTATCTTAAAAAAACAATTATATTTTAAAGAATTAAAAAGAATTGATAATTTAAACTTTTATTATTTGAAATTAATTAAATAATAATTAACTTATTAAATATTTTCTTATAAACTATATATTTTATATTTTTAAATGATAACTTAAAAATGAGTTAACTTACAATTAAATGTTTAAATATATAATAATAATAATAATAATAATAATAATAATAATAATAATGTTATAAGTATTTAAAAGTTTTAATATAGTATTATAATAATAATAATAATAAATATTCTATATATATATATATATATATATATATTTAATTAATAATAATTACAAATTGTAAAATTATAAATATTTATTTATATATAAAAATATATAATAAAATTAATTTATTATAAATATAATTATCTTTTTAAAAATAATATATATTAGAAATGAGACGGAAACAAAAGTAGGGACGAGTACAGGAAAACCAGAAACTCAACAAAAACGAATACGGAAACGTCGACTTAATTTTTAATCCAATAAAAATTGAGAGTAAAAACAAGATAATTAAAAAACTCAGAAAACTAGCATCAGCCCTTCCTATCTATAAATCAACCTTAAAAATCTTTCACTCCATATATGTATTCTTGTAATGGAATTTATGATATACAGAATATTGGATTTGATGTACTATCGTCTTATATTAAAAAAATAAAATATTATACATTTAATATATATATATATATAATTTAAAAAAATATTATATATAATTATTAATATTATATTTTAAAGTGAACCTATTAAATATATTTTTAAATATATATATATATAACTTTAAAAAAATTAATATAAAATAAAAGTTAATAATAATTATTTATTATTTAAAAATAGAAATATGATGAATCTCATCGTCTTCTTAAACATTATCAATAGATAAAATAATTTTTACGTCGGTTGAGATAATATTATTAATCTAGATGTCTGTTTTGATTAATAACTAAAAAAAATTGTTAATCTATTTTTATTTTTGTTTAATTATTTTCGATTTTTTTTATACAAATTTTTTGAGTCTCAAGTTAAGGTGAATTGTATCGGTATCCGGATCAGATATTGGAATAAATGGATTACTGGCAAGTTGTTGGGTAAATTAGGAATGAGAGTAGATTGAAAATTGCAATTCAGTTGTTATGTGATTGCTGGTACTCCTGTACCGCTAAGATTGTCAAATTAACCGTAAATTTAGTTCAGTTTCTGTTTGCATCAGTGAGTGAGCCAGTTTTATCGAGTACTAGATTCTCGAGTTTCGTACCTTAACCATTAATTTTGAAATTACATAATATATTATTAATAAATAATAAATAAATATAAAAAAATAAATAACAAAAAATAAAATTATAAATAAATATATTAAATAATTATTAAATTTTAGAAACAAAATCATAAATTATATTAAACTTATAATTTAAAAAAAATAAAATTTAAATATACAAATATTAATTAAATTTAAAAAATATAAAATCATAAATTCCATAAAAATTCCAACACTTTCCTATCACATCCTCTCCATTCTCAATAAAAAACGGTTGGTGATTATAGTCAGATCACATATGGACTTCTTTTCTATCTAATAATATTAACAAAATATATCTTATCAATAATTTGACATCTTTATCTTCAATCTCTTATTACTACGTGTTCTTAATGGTCAGTTGATTTTTGTATTTACTGTTAAATAAGGAAATTTGTTGTTTAAGTAGTCAATATTATTGGATATCCATTTCACTTATGTGGGTGGGGTGGATCTTGAGACAATTTTTTTGTTTTTGGATTAGGGTTGCAAATATTGTCCACTTGTGAGTACCGACTCAATCTCTTCCGACTTTAATCGAGGTACCCATTTGATGGATGAGAATGGGTTTATAATTAAAATAGTGGGCTTTTATTATTTAAAAAAATATATATATATATATATATATATATATATATATATATATAAAAGGGATACTAGATTTCTAATTTTATATTATAATAATAATTATTATATTATTATAGTCAATAATAATATATTTTATACATTTAAGAATAAAATAAATAATAATAATAATTAAATTTATATTATTACAAAAATTATTATTTATTTTTTGTTTTTATTAATACTATAATATTATTAATAGTAAATAATAATAAAAAATATTAAAAAATAATATAATTATAATTATTAATATTATTTTAGTTTTATTATTAATGATAGAATAATATTAATAATAATATAATTATCATTATATAAAATAGAAATAATACTATATTAATAAGTATAATTCTATTATTTATTTATTTATTATTATTATTATTAATTAATATATTTAATTAAAAAACTAATTTTACTAATAACCATTGTTAGAATCGCGCGACAGAATGTTCGCGTGGTCGGACAAAAACCAAGAGGGGGGTGAATTGGTTTCTTAATAAAAATTAGGTTTTCAAAATTTTCCCCAAATTTTACCGATTAAAAGCTGCGTAAATGTAAATAGAGAAGAGTAGAGAAGATTACACAGTAGGTTTATACTGGTTCGGATCAAAAGACCCTACGTCCGAGTTGCTAATCACTCAAAAGAGGATTAACGCTGTCACTAAGAACAAATTGTTATAAACAGATTACAAATCAAAGAGATAAAGTAAAGACAACACCTCTCTTGAAATCCACAAGAGATGAAGAACAGACTTTCCCTAGAGACGGCACAGACACACAATCCACTAAGAACTCCACTTAGTGATTCTTATCGCTTCTAGCCTCACACCAGGTTTCCAAAAGCCCCCTTTCCTTGCAACAAACAGTTCTCTGGCACTCACAGCACTTAACTTTTGTATGGAAAGAGTTGTTCTTTTTTTTCTGAGTGCCAAAGCAGAGTTTAAGTAGGGAAATTAGGGTTAAGGAATTGGGGATTTCGAAACTAGGGTTCTTGGTAATTGGGTTTTCAAAAATAGGGTTAATTTGAAATTTAAAAACAAAAACAGATTGAAATAATCGATTAAATGGAGTTTTAATCGATTAAAATAGAGCCAAATACGCAGAACCCAATCCTCTCGGTTTAATCGATTATTTGGTGAAATAATCGATTATTTGACCTTTTAATCGATTATTTTGATGTTTTAATCGATTAAAACAGTGAGTATATGCTTGAAAATGGTTTTCTCACTTGTTTTAATCGATTATTTCCCTATATAATCGATTAAAGCCGAGCCTGCATGATAAATTTGAGCATTTTGAAGCTTCTAAGTTACAGACTATGTACCGGCTATCTTAGACTCTATAATTACGAGACTCAATCAAACTAAAACAGAGTTATTACAATACAGAAATCATCAATCTTCAATCTTCAATACTCTAAGTCTTTAAGCTCTTGGATCATCATCAAAATCAACATTCTTCATGATCATTATTTGCAACATCAAGTCCTTGAATGTTCAACAATCTCCCCCTTTTTGATGATGATCAAAATTATCTTTTTAAAGCCCTTGTAATAACCTGTTTTATCTGTCATACTAACAAACACATTAAACATACCAGATAAAATTTAATATTGAACCATAGGCTTTAAATTTTTCTCCCCCTATTTTGATTATAATCAAAAAGAACTCTGCAACATCAATAATAAGAGCTCCCCCTCAAAATATGCATAAGTTAGAGAAAGCTCCCCCTCAATCATAGCATAAAAGAAACATCAAATTTTATTTCATAATCATTTATCCATTACAATAGCAAGACAATAACAAAAGAAAATACATAACATATTTTAAAATTCTTCACTATCCTCATCATTAAAGTGAGTATCAAATCTATTTTCTAATCTACCCACTCTATCATCTACATCGGATATGCGACTAATAATTTCATCATGGCGTACTCCAGAAAGATTGAAGAATGATTGCATTCTTTGATTCATGTCGGAAAGCATATCTTCCATGGATTGTCTTGTTTCTTGATGAGAAGAGGATGTTCCAACACTTTGGATTTGGTTAGAGGGAAAATTATCAGCTGGAGGCATATCTTCATCAGAGTCTATTTGCATCACTTTGATTTTGAACGTCATCTTTGTGAACATAGATGTCATTGACACGCACCATTTGAAGTTGAGTCAATGTGCTGTCCAACATGCGGTTTAAGTTGTTTGTTCTAACTGCTTGCTCACCTTCAACATTCACTCCTTTATATTCAAGAATACGGGATACAAGAAGTGCATATGGAATTTTGAAGGTGTGATGACGTTTTGCTTTAAGCATGGTCATTTTGACAAGAACACCCCAATCTAAAGGTTCATTATTCATTATGGCATGAATAATTCGAAGATCAATGGATGAGCATTGGGCATGATTCGTAGCCCGGGGACATAAGATCCATACAAGTAAATGTAGAAGCATGCGTTCTTCCTTCTTTAAAGGTCCAGGCATGAAGAATACGTCCAACCTCCGAGAGGGATTCCGCAGAAAAGATCGATAAGCTAAGAACCTGTCAAAGTCATCTAGCTCACCATAAACGTTAATAGCATCTTCTCTAATGGGGAAGTGAGCAACATTTTCCCAAATATCATCATCTAGAATTATGGAAACCCCTTTTACACGGGATGTAGCAATTTGATCCCTAAACTTGAATCTAGAATAGAATACCCTAACTAAGTCAGGATAGTATGTACCTTGCATTTGGATAAACGGGAGAACTCCTTGAATTTCAAGAAGATTAGGAAAATTGAAACCCCTACGAATGAATTGCTCACCTATAAGAAATTTGGGAGAAATAATAGCTTTTTCTTTCCAGTAGGTTAGAAACTCTTGTTGGCTATCCGCATCGAAATCCATCCTTCTACGAGAATTAGGACGGAATGAGAGGAAGATGCAGATCTTCTTCTTGTAGGAATCTTAGGGCGAGAGGATGAGGCCATTTGAAAGAATAGATGAAGTATGAAGAAGATTTGGAGACAAGTGAGGAAATAATGAAGCAAAGAGAGTATAGATTTCAAGAAAACTTGATTACAAGAGTTAGAAGTGAGTATAATTGACCTAGATGTCTCTATTTATAGAGAAAACACTTCCAACGGTCATATAGAAGAGATTCCATGGCAAAATATCCGTTGGCAACGGCTAGGAGGCAAAACTGGTCGCATTTAATCGATTATATTTCAAGATAATCGATTATTTCAATATCTGACAGCTTTAATCGATTATTTCAAGCAAATAATCGATTATCAGAGACATTTAATCGATTATTTCACGAAATAATCGATTATTCCGAAGAAGAATACCCTGTTTTGGATGTTTTGAGAAAAAATAATCGATTATCACTTCCGAGTAATCGATTATTCCGGAGGCTATATCAAGTTTTTGAGATTTATATGCATAATAACCTATGAACATGCTACACCACGAATTTTAACATAACAATCATCCAGAAACAGTCAAATTAAGCAGATTTTAAGCTATTTCTAATATCCCTAAGTCTCTTCTAAGATCATAGAATCTATCCTTGGGTAGAGGCTTAGTAAATATATCTGCTAATTGACGTTTAGTGTCTACATACTCTATCTTACAGTTTCCTTTGCTGATAT